AGAGAGTGGCAATTATAGATGGCATTGAAGGCACACCTAGGGCTTAAATAATCAAGTTAAATTTTTAACTAAGATCAGCACACAGTGATAAACACTCACTCACAGAAAACAAAAACTCTCAGTGCATAAGACAAGTAGAATTTTTAGTACACACTCAATTACTTTAATTAAGTATTAAGTGCAATCATGGTTGACTCAATCACAAAAGTGTGACAATTTTACACATACATAACACTATACACAGTGCAACACAAACACTTGGGCCCAAGATAAATATAAATAATGTGACTCACCGGTGAAGAAAAGAAGGGATGTATCTATGTCGAGTACAAAACTCAACATACTAGAGGTTGATACAAATTAAACACAGCGGCGCGAGTGGTGCCTCCCCGACCGTAACTTATCACACGCTCACATCACAACAAACATGTCGTCACGACATGGCAAATTTAATTATTCAATGGCTCACTGAGTCTCATTGCAACAAGCACACAAATAGCACTGCACACACATCTCTTGGAGAGCAAGAGGCAGTGAAGAAGGGGAAGAAGGTTGTGACGTCACGGCCGAAGGCATGGCTTGCACTCGCGACCCGGGGCATCATCTTCATTTTCACGGAGTAGGCAAGGAGCTCATCCGGGCGGCAATGCGACAAGTTAGCCTAGCCCATGACCAAGGTCAGAGGCGGCGTAAAAACGGCCCTGTGAAAATTATCATGGGTTATGAACAAACGTTGGGTGGACCATGAGCGTTCCCTTGACCTTGACAGACAAACACACACCTTGCGGGCCGTTGGTGAGTTGCGCAGAACATGTTGGAGCGGATTACGAAGTACTTAATGTACAAAACTTGCGAAACGTGGACGCGACACGACGTGCACTGAGAAAAATTTTTAGTTCCTGGCACTAAACACTTGTTTAATGCGTCCCACTTTGTCCCCGTGGCAAAACATTTAGTGCTGGCCAATAGAAGTTCTGAGGTGTAGCAATAATGGGGTTTAGCGCCAGGCGCCAAACACGTTTTGTGCTGTAGGCTAAGGTGCACTTTGTTTGATGGACGAAGTATGCATGATTGAGTAGTTCGGATGTCACCGCTAGATGGCACCGCTATCGAAATGCCTGCCTTGTATCTCGCTGGGTGCCCCGGGTGCACACAGCATCTGGTGCTGGGGCAGTTCCCCCCAATTACAGGCGCAGCTACTATCATAGCGGTGCCTCCACTTTCCGCCATGTGATACCATGGCGCTGATTTTAAAAGGGAAACTTCTTGTACGAAAAGTGCAAGGCTCTTCCACCCCTATGAATCACAAGCACACTGTTTCATCCCCTTGCTGCAGATTCTGAACCAAATCTAGTAAAAATATTGTCCGTGTCGTCGTATCCAGTTTATGTTCGGGGAAAAGACTTAAATAATGCCTGAGCTTGCCTATTCTTTAGTGCCACTGCCTGATCTATTTAGCGCCTGGCACCAAAGCCGGCGCACTAAACGCCTTTTGCCCCTGGAACTGAACACTTTAGTGCGTCGAAAAACTTTCGACCTGGGCACTAAAGTTTTAGTGCCTGGCACCAAAAATTTTTCTCAGTGTGTATTGACAAGCCGCCTGTCAGTCTCTTGATCCGTCCGGCGACCGCCCTTTTGGCATTAATAAATTTTTACACACTTCCATGCAAAACAAATATTTCTTTCGTTGTTTTGTTGTACTTTACAAGCTGCTTCCTTTCTATTAGTATTCATAGCGAAATCATTGCGGACACGTTCGTAGTCATTCAGAGTATGCCTGGAAGTATATCCCTGGCGGGATAGTTGACAGAATAATGGACAGAATCACTGTCCACTCCGTGTCCGAAGTGTGTCTAGCACGTCTGAAATTAGGCCGTATTCTGTCTGCTCTGTCCATCATGTCTATTTCTTCTGGTTCTAAGTCTTATGTATCTTTTCATGTAGGTGTGTTATTGGATTCATAAGCTGACATCAATAACGTAAAAGGGATTCGGCATAACTTGCATGTATTCTACAAACTGCGGCACACACAGCCAAAGATGTTCAGCGTATGAAAATAATGCTTGGTTTTTTGAGGTTTAATTACGAAGTAGAAAGAAAAAGGTACCTGGCAAAAAGATGGTTCAGATCGAACCGTCACTTAAACGGGCCGAAGGCCCGTTTTCCTAGAGGAGCTATATTACACCACACAATCAGAAGGGACAAGCCGAAGGCCCGTCCCAAACGCCACCGGCAGGCCAAGCTAGGCCCGCTCTCTGCCGAACCAAGTTGCTGGTGGAGCGAAGCTGCCTCCGCTGAGCTCCTCTCCCAGCGAGCTCTCTGTGGCCAAGTGGGCAAGCACTCCGACAGCCAGTCGGGGGGCAGGGGTTCGGTGCCGGACCGGGCCGGCGGCTGCCCGGCCGAGTCGATTGTTTTCATTTTCATCTCGTACAGAGGACTGAAGATTGTCTGAGAGCGTAAGTCGATCCTCAGACAATGGCAGTCAATCCTCATTAACTGAGCTCAGGATGGGCTGAGGATAGACTGCGGTTTGGCTGTGTTTTGTCTGCCGTTTGTCAGCCGTTTGACAGAGAGAATTGTCTGCCGTTTGACTACGGTTTGGCTACCGATAGACTGCCGATTGTCTGCCGATGAGCTACCGTTTAACTGCCTTTTATCTACGAATTAACCGTCACCATCGACAAGGTTCCAGACAACATTCAGATTATTACTTTGCCTCGTGCATTCTACATTCATTATAATCTTCATAATCTGTCTATAACCATTCCATAATCTTATAATCATTCTATAATCTTATAATCTATACTCAAAAGTACACGGCTGAGGCGAGTTGTAGACCCCTCGGATTTGGCATAACTTGCATGTATTCTACAAACTGCGACACACACAGTCACATATGTTCAGCGTATGAAAAGAATGCTTCGTTTGTTGTGTTTTGATTACGAAGTAGACAGCAACGGTACCTGGCAAAAACATGGTTCAATGCGAGCCGTCACTCAAACGGGCCGAAGGCCTGTTTTCCGATATAAGCTATATGACACCATGAAAAATCAGAGACGCCACCGGCAGGCCAAGCCAGGCCCGCTCGCTCTCTGCCGAACCGAGTTGCCGGTGGAGCGAAGCGGAGCTGGCAACTTGGTTTGGCAGAAGAGCGGACCTACACACTAAATCCTTATGCACTTTGTGCATAAGACTTGCAGGATTTCATGCAGCCATAAATAAGTATGCACAAATTTTTATGCATTATTGTGTACAACATGTGCATAATTATACACACACTACATAGTTATGCATAAAATTGTGCATAATTTTATGGCTGCATGAGATCCTGCAAGTTTTATGCACAACAAAGTGCATAAGGATTTAGTGTGTTATTCCTCGGAGGTAGAGGAAGAGTATACACTGTAGGAGCTAAAACTATTAGCAGTCACGAATCCAGCTAAGAAATTAGCTGGGCGAGCTAAGGTTTAACTACATTAGCAATTTTTGTTGTTTTGCGTGCTGAACCACCGGGCACGGCCCGCACATGACAGATGAACTGACCTTCCTGCTCCCCCCTTTCCTTTTTCGCAGCAGCGACGCAGGTGACATGGCTGAAAGCCACCTACTACCTACGGTCCTTAGACGGCTCCAATTACTGGGACGATGATGTGCACGATAATGTGCTTCTAGTTCGCTGGGCAGTGGGCCCAGAGCTGAACTCTTCCGTTTCGGGATATGTGGTTAGTCTCTCACTGGAGGGCAGCGGTGGCGGCGAAGACTGCGAGGACACGACGACTGAGGACTCGTTCTCTGGCAGTTCGCTGGCCAACGTGGCCGCCAGTGTGCGCCATGCACGCCGGACCACGCGAGAGATTCAGACCGATGCACCAGCGACTTCAACGTCGACCGCGACAAGCGCAAAACCACGGTGCAGGCCGTCATTGAACGACTTCTGGAGGTCCTGCTCCGAAAATTGGACCGACTCTGACTCGTTCGCAGCTGAGGAGCAGAAATCAAGCATCGGCAGAGGCCGCCCCGCGCCTCCGCCGCCCAGCGTGGCGCGGCCCCCCCTGCCGCGGCCCGCGCCTCTCACCGCGGCCCGCACCCCCGCGCACGCTCCGCCTCGCCCCCGCCGTCACCGGCGCAAAGGAGCTGCAGCCCGCTCGACCGCAGCCACCGCTGCTAGCCCCACAGCCCAAGTGAGGGACAGAGCGCAGTCGCAGCCCGTGATTTTTCAATGCGCAAGCTGCGAGGCAGGTGGGTAGACAAATGGTGAACCAGATGGGGTATCAACCAAAGCGGCGACAGCGGGATAGTATCGGTGGTTTCTCTCAACTTTATTTCACGTTTCGTTTCAGAACCGAGACGTCCAACGCGCATCCCGTTCAGGCACGCATATTCGTGAACTGTACTTGTCAGAGTTCGCAGAGAGAAGAGTGTTTTTGCCAGTATCTACCGGGTGTCCAAGCTAAGACATGCCAGTAGTACGTTAGGTCGCCTAGGCACTGGCTGCAGTAGCTGCAGGCGCAGGGTGAGTCGCGGGGGAGTGGCAGCTTCTTTACCACTCCCCCGCCAGCGCCCCGCGCCTGCAGCCCCTGCAGCCAGTGCATCGGCAACCCAATGTACTAGCATGAGCATGTCTTAGCTTGGACACCCGGTATAACGTATACCGGATGTAACTGTAAATACGCAGCAGTTTGCCATCTCTCTACACCCGTAAGCGGCCATGGCCCCTGTGGCGATATTGAGTATGCAATCCCGCAACACTGCTGCGTATTCACAGATACACCCGGTACACACAAGAAAGAGTGTACTTACTATGGTGCGTACATACTTGTATGTGTGAGATTGAAAGTACAATCTCCCTTGCGTGAACTAATGCATTGTTGGGTTAGCACAAGGAAAAAAAAAGATTCGCTGTGCCAGCTAATCACTGTGGAAAAAAGTAGGTAGGTTTACAGGAAAATTTTCCTTGACTCAAGTTGTAAAATTACAATTTGAAATCGTAAAAATACATGCAGTACGTATCGACTTAAAATCCATTGGCGAGTAAAAAATATGCTCTCGTAAATTTACAACTTAAATTATAATTCGAGTTTACAATATTTTTGTAAATTTACGACGATATTTTTCACAGTGATACTATCGACTGGTATTTGGACAGATAACCTGATAATATTATATGAGCTATTATAATCGATTATTGACTGTAGCAATCGATGATTGACTCTGGGAACCAATGTTCCTACAATCTCCATATTATTTTCCAGAGTCAATAATCGACTGCTACAGTCAATAATCGATTATAATAGCTCATATAGTATTTTCAGAAACTTATCAGGTTATCTGTCCAAATACCAGTCAATGTATTAGCTGGCACAGCGAATCTTTTTTTTCCGTGCAGTGTATACAACTATGCACTGTTAAATTCCTGCAAAGCGATGATTTGCAGAACTGCGAAGTAATCTGATCCTTTGTAACTGAAGCATTTCCTTTACTATTACAAAGTGATGCTTTGCAATTGCGAAACGTTGTAGGCATTTAACGGTGTGCCAACCAAAAGTGTTTTGTTCCGTATACAGAGGAGACAATGGTGACCCCTGGAGGAGTTTCTGCGGCGAAAACGAGATGAGATATGACACTTCGTATGAGGATACAACCAGTAAGAGGACATGTCTAGTGAACACGGAAAAAAAGTGTTGGTCGTGGTGACCAGATTATCCTGGTTGAGAGTGAATTGGTTGTAAGTATCGAACCGCTTGGTTGTGGCAGCCGGCTGGGTTCCTCGTCGTGTTACAACTCGCTTCGTGAGGTCTGCTCGATCGCTACAATCAAACTTCGCCCTACTTTCTGGCTTGGTTCTGCTCATACAAGTAAGTTTGTCGTCAAACGACTCCTAGTCCCCACAACGCAGTTAAGTTCGATTCCTGCTATTAGCGGTTCTGATCGCCACGATCAACCCGCCGGTTGTCGCAACTAACCTGGTGCAGCTATTCCGCTTCGTTGTCACAATCAGAAAGTCGATACTCCTGGTATCTATCGAGAGAAATGGTTGTATCGATCGACTTTTAGCTGCCACAATCAACCTTTTTTTTCCGTGAAGGGCAAGGCAAAAAGTAGAGTAGACAAAACCGTGTTCTACTCGCGTCGACCTACTCTATCTATCCCTTGTTCGCCAGGCTTTAACTATCCTATGCTGAAGTGCCTCAAGACTACGGACGGCAACACCGTGAGGTTTGACATCGATCAGACACTGGAGGATCCTCACTTCCAGCTCGACGTGTGGGAAGTGCGTGGCGAGGACATCGCGTACCCGATTGTTGATTCCGAAGACTTTGTGCCTTTCAGTGAGTGCAAAAGCGACCTGTAGGCGGCGTCTCTCGCGCCCTGCCGTGCATTCGCCCTTTCGCACACAAATCTATGGGCTTTATTTTGGGATTTGCCTCAGGTAGGCAGACCTCTTGAAATACCAGGTTATGGGAAAACGTTTATTAAAATCTATTTTCCATTTTTTTTTTAATTGCACTATATCCACAAAGCGTAAATCCTCATCCATTGTGTTGTGCATAAGCATGCAGATTTTTAGACAGCCACTTGTGGTCTGTCTCTCACTGTTAAATTCCTACAAAGCATTCGCTTTGCAGAGCTGCGAAGTATTTTGCTCCTTTGTAACTACGAAGCATTTACGTTGCAATTACAAAGTGATGCTTTGCAATTGCGAAGCAATGAAAACGCCGCAAAGCGTCGCTTTGCAATTGCAAAGTGTAACTTCGTAATTGCAAAGCATCACTTTGTAATTGCGAAGTTGAATGTTTCGTAGTTACAAAGGAGCAAAATACTTTGCAGGAATTTAACAGTGTACCCGAAGGTAAAAGCTTCCCGTTTTGATCAGCCGACGAACGTTACAGTTTTGATAAGCCGATTGACGTTGATAATATACATTCTCTGTGGGGCAAGCGTGGTCTCCGTTTCGTTCGTCCCCAGTAGCAGTCCGCTGTCATCGCTCTGGCTGTGTTATACACATAGCGCCCTTATCCCTTGCTTCGCGCCGAGCCAGGGTGGGCCAGCTCACTTGAGCTTCTCACAGCGCTCCTCCTCGCGCGCCCCGCGACCCAACCCCTGCCCACGTAAAGCTCAATCGGCACGCGTGCCACATGGCCCGTCTACTTGATAAGTGATCCCTAGTCTCAAATTTTAAATTTGAACCACTGTTTAATGACATGTATTTCTAATATGAAAGTCTAGATTCTGTAATCACACTATTTATTGAACACAGGTACGATACACAATCATCACATCACCTCTATCACTGCACCGGATACAGTTGGTACAGGTGTACAAACATGACATCACACAACCACAGCGCTCTGAAATATGAAATGCTCTTGTTTTCGCGCACGCAGAAATGACGAATCCAGCAAAATTTGAATGGCGATTCTAGCATTATTTGCTGATTTTCGTTGTTTTTGATTTTAATCAGAGCTTTCCGAAACACAAAAAAGCGCTATTGGGCGGGTGCGGTGAAAGTATCCAGTTTCATTAATAGGTTTGCCGTTGTCGATACTGCTGATAAACGTTCAAGTTTTGATAAGCAGATTTTCAGTCTTATTTTGATGCCTTATTGAATTTAAAGATACAAGCCTTAGCGCCTGTATATTTTGAATTTGCTTTTGGAGCTGGACTGTCTCGCTACCAGCCGGCATGCCAGTTTTGACAACCACAATATTATGCACAATTTTATGCATGACTATGTACAGTTTGTGCAGAATTCGGGCCAATTTTGTACATAATAACACACAATAGCATTTGTGCATACTTATGGCTGTATAAAATTCTGCATGTTTATGCACAGTAAATGCAGAAGAGTTTCGCGTGTATCACTTCCAAATAAATAAATTTAGGAAAATAATTTTAGTACTCTAACGACTAACGCTCTGCCACTACACTGTTACAAAAATTGTTGTAAATTTACAACACATTTTGATGTAAGGTTTGATTGCAGGGCAATTCCTGACAGGGATGTCCGTCAGTGACGGTATTTTTGTTCGACTGAGACGTGCTACGTATGGTTGCAATACGTCCCTAGCGGCGTCTTGCAAGGACGCGTCTAGTGATCTGCTTCAACAACCCGTAGCAACTCTCAGTCGCTCACAAAAGCCGTCACTGACGGACATTTTTAAACAGCGGAGTTGTCTTCTACGATCGTTTTGCCCCGATAGTCAATTGTTTTACATGGCCCTTTATGGGAAAATAGAACTCTAACCATAGATTT